GGACGTCTACGCGTCCATTCTTATCACTATTTTCTTATGGTGGCCCCGTTTGTCAGCCCCGTTGTTTTTCTCTTGTGAGACGATTCCACGCGGAAAACGTTTCTTCTGTTGTTGTTTTGTGTTTTTGATCCGTTCCGAAGGTCGGTTCTCGTCCGCGCCCTGTTAAAAAATCTAAAAAAGTGGTGTACCGGCCAAAAAAAAAAAGAAGCCGATGTGTCGTTGTTGTTGTGATACGCGTCCGACAAGATTTACTATAATATACAATTCACTATACCGTGAAGCGTAACCGGAGGGCACTCGGCCACGTGTAATTATTATTGCACCGGTTGCCGCCTCTCTGCTGCTCTCTTCTACCCGTACCTTTACACATAATATATACAATATGTAGTGTATAAGAAGAAGAAAAAAAATATATATATATATTTACAAAAAACGCTACAAGACCGCCGACGTTCCCCTTCGGCCCTGCCCCTCCTCCCCCGCCCGCCCGGCAACTTCTTATATTCTACCAAGGCGGGAGGGGAACCGGTCGGCTTTTTTGACGCCGCCGCAACAACAACATCGTGTGTTCATTACAAAATTACACTGCCCTCACCCCGATTTTCGCTCAAAGCCCGACGGTTATTTTACTCTTTTTTTTTTTTATATTTTTATTAATTTATTACAAGCAGGTGCTGCGTGTGGCGTTTGATTCTCGAGCAGAGAGGTATTTATTGTATACAATATACACCTTATGATTTTTCGACACGAATTCGTCCGGGGCTATTAACTCCTTCTGTGAGAGAGTCGGACGCCGCCAAAGCGAAGCAATATATAGACACACGTGTGTGTGTACATATTGTATATAAATTACCTATGTACATAAAAAAACGTACCTAGTGGGGAAATCCCAAAACGAAATGAATTTTTTTTTTTTTTAAACCATACCCAAAATTAAAATTTGTCTCGGCCACGTTTAAACCCCTAACTTTTTTGCTGATGTATGTACACCTACACAAAAATGAAATAATTATTCCAGTGAGAATATAAAAGATGAACGGGTTTTTTTTATGTTCTTTGGAAATACCGTTATGGTTATAATTGTTATCAATTTTCAGATTTTCGCGCCATATATATATATATATATGTGGTTATATTATCGTTTTATTATCATATTATTTTGTTTTTGGACTGATATATTTTTCGACACGTTTCCATTTACTGTTTAAAACCATAGTATATTTAATTCTGCTGTTGGAATCTGATCATGTACGTCAAAACTCAAATCACTTATTTAGTTATTCAAGTATAAAATCTCGTTTGTATGTATGTGTGTCCAAAAAGATACAATGCCCTAGTAGTAAAATACTTGGAATTTTTGAAAAATAATAAATAATTATACATTTTTTTTGTTCTAATTGGTATTTATTATGCATTTTTACTACGGTAATTGGAATGTCTATTTTTTAAATGCAGGTGCATTTTTAACTAATTTTCTTTTTAAGAAATTTCCTAAAAACAATTTTTCTTAATCACTACATAATCAAAACATAATTATATACATAGTTCAAAGAATAATACCTACTCCACGTAAATCATAAATTATTTTTAATTACAATAAAAATTCTAAAAGTAAATAACTAATTAAATAACTTCAAACTGTTTTATAAAAACATCTTTGTAAGTATGCAGTGCGTAGTCCTTTTTTTTTTTTTTTTAAAGCTAACATACTATTTTTGAAACTATAAAGTGTTAAAAGCGAAGGCTTGTTTTTTTTAGAAAACCGCCATTAATGGATGCTGCGATTGTGCCGGATAATACATTTTTGTTTTTCATTTATAATTCTTTACAAACAAATAACACAGCCCTTAACGTTTAAGTGTGGCATATTAAAACAATGAAATAAAAATAAAACAGTTGTATTAAATACATGTTTAAAACGTCTGTGTTAAAAATAATGTTTGAACCCGTGTACAACACGTGTCCTTACACATATGTTAACAACTATTCACATTCATTTCAAAGTTTTAAGTGTATTAAAAATAACTATTCAAGTTTGTATTTTTTTCCCCCGCTATAATTATAGATTTTAATTATTACTGTCTCTGGTACGCTTTGTAGTTTGAAGAATAAATGTGACGACAGTTGATTGACATTGATTTGTTAAAATTCGATAGTGTCTCTTTACACACACAGTGATATTGTTCTCACTCTATATTTATCAAAATCATTTATTTCCCAGTAATAAATATCAAATATATTATCCAAAATCGGTTACTATAATGTGTAACTAATATGGCAAATGGCAAAACCGATTTTTTTGTCCGTCAAGTTGTAACCCTTTTTACGGTTAGGTATGGTTACCGCGGTTAGGGTGTATGGTTAATGTTTTGACGGTTGGGTTAGTTGTCGTTTTTAAATTGTTGTCTGTTTGTTTCAAAAACATTTATCATCACTAAAAAATAAAAACAGGAAAGAATGCGGTCCAATTCTTCAAACACTTGGTAAAATATTTTTTTTTTAAGCCGCCTTAAGTCATACACTTAAACAGTCATAACAAAACTGGGTTCATTCACCGGCCGAGTCTGTGCTATTATAAAATTCCTTTGGGGTTTTCATGGACTATAGTCCAAAGTAAAAAATTGCAAGTATCTTTGGGGTATTGTGTATTATAAACGGATGTGGTATAAAATACTGGTAAGGATTTGTATTTTTTCTTTTACCTGAGACAACCCATTTTGGGGGGAGGGTTGTTGGCCGATTAAACGTGCATTGTGCGTTTTCTTTTGATTTTTTTTTATATGAAAACCGGCGGCATATGGCAAAACGATAAAATGAAAAGAAGAACCTTTTCTCAGCAGCAGCAACCGAGTAAATAATAGTATACAACATTATAATATATAAAAGATTGAGACTTAAAAACTCTGAAACACAATATTTGGCCGACCTTGTCACCGGTTTTGGGATGCACTTTATCAATGTTTGGCAACCCCTATTCAAATGTGCTACTAGTTTTCTTAAACCCCAGGCTGAAAAAATATTATATCAAAAATCCAATCTCCATACCGGTGGTGTCCATTGTTCCAAAGAAATGATTTCTAATATTATATTATTATGATTGTTATTCTTTTTACCATTAGCCCGCCGGCTTTTTACATTGTACAATAACAGTAATTATCTTGTACAAATAATTAACCTTATAGATAAAAACAAATATATTTCACCTTCAATAAATATGGCATCTACAAAATGTGTGCAAGTCGCAACGTGTATACTTACCTTATTAAATAAAATTAATAATACATATGATAGTGTTTTTACTGTGTGGTTTTATATAATTTAAACAATTATCAATTGATAAGGAAATTGAGATCTAGTATGTTTTTGTGATATAATCTAAAATCATTAGAAATTAAATACTTGCAAAGAACTATAAAGAGTTATAATAAAACTATTTTAACCGTTATTTTATTAAATTGGTTATGTTAGGTTTTTCATACAGATGAAAACCTCTGTATTAAAATAAAAATTCAAATATTTATTAAAAACAAAAACCTGTTCAAATGAAAACTCAAATCTTAAATTTTACAATTTTATTCATTTTATATTTATATGAATAAACATTTATTTAAAATAACAGGTAATTTATAAAACAATCAAGTAAAAACAACTATAAATAATATTATAATATATGTACATTAAATACAAGATGTCATTATTTTCAATTTATTATTTGTTAATTTTATAAATAATTCTTTAATTACAGAAAGCAGAGTACAGATTTTTATTAGACTTGAGTAATATTATAATTTTACAATTCATTGGTATATAAAGTTACTAATATTTAAATTGGAAACTGTCAATTTTATAAGTAATAATTTTTATAATAATATATATAATTATATTATAAAAACTTGAACCTTTTATTTAACTAAAAATCCTATTTTAAAGAACATTTATTTTGTAATTTATTAAAAAAATATTGCAAAATAATTTTTTACTGACATGTGGTATTTAAAAAGAATTTAAAAAATAACAGTACATTTATTTTTTATAAAATATTTAGTGTACTTCCTTCGACATAATTGTTGTATGAACCTTAAAATATATCCTACGTAGGTATTTTATATTATTATTTTTTTTTTAATATATGTCCAATAATCATTTTTATAAACTGCCAAGTGCCAATATCATATTTTATTGTTTGGATTAATTCCAAAAAAAATCTCAAGTGAAGGCTCTTAAAAAAAGGGATCATGTCAAAATGAGGGATAAAGAAATCCTACCTGGCCTGCTGCCACTTATTACATACAATATTATATGTTGATAGACATATGAATTGATCCAAAAAATCATAATTTCCTATCCCATTGCACTGTACAAAAAGAACCCTCCCCCTCCCCCCAAACACTAGTAGGAAGTGCATATCATATTTTCATAACTTCATTGTTCTCTATTCTCCAATCGGAAACAAATTCGCTATCGATTAAACGGCTGCCGGTAGTAAACCAACGTACGCTCTCGGATCCTGCGTACTAACGCGCTTCATCGACCGACAGCTACTACTCGAGTCCGGTTGCCGTTGTTTGTTGCACCCGGATCATATTTTCATTATTATTATTCTCAGATTAAAAAAAAATATATTATACAACAATATTTCTGTGAGTGATGGATAGTGGTATGTATTGGTGTTTGTTGTATTATTATACTAGTACACATTTATATATGTATTTACACTTACCCTTCATTGTATTTAGTCGGATCGTAAAACTATTGTTTATCGATTGCCCGTTACGGATTACGTTTACTTGGATTATCTATCTTAATATATATATTTAAAAAAAAAAAAAATAGGCTTTATTTTGATATAACAAGGTGGAGATTTTTCTTAGGGTATTTTGCCGTATATGCCTTTCCGTAGAAAATGACTTAATGTTTCATGTCGTCAATAATGGCGGCCATTGTTGTTGTTGTTGTTTACATGCGCAATTCAATCTAAATGTTTGTTTTTCTTTTTCCAGTGCTGTTTCGAAATGCCTGTAACAGACGTAGCAAGGAGCACGACAACGATAGCTCCACGTCTGCGGTTATGATGAACAATAACATACTTATTGACTCCGCCAGACCTAAAGTGTTAGTCGGAGAAGAGTCTGAGCGACCGTCCGAAGACAAGTCCTGTGCGGGTCAAAAGTATAAATACAGTTTAGGTGAGCCTACGAAACACACAAGCCCAATTTGAAAGTTTACGTTGACCAATTATACTTATTCTGTGTGTTTTCAGATAATAAATGTGTGAGATGTCGCAAAGTACGATCGGATTTTCCAACGTCCAGTTCAAAATGTTGTTCCTGCAACATCCAAGAATATGGTAAACAAAACCGTTTATAAATAATGTTGTTGCTGTTTTTATTAACAATATATCTTACAAATTGTATCGTTTGCCTGTTGTCATTAGGTGGTCGCGGTGCACGTCACGATTACGAACCAGCTGACGGCGATAGCGGCGACCGAGGCTCGTTGTCTCCGAACGATGGCCACAGCTCCGGACCCATGTTGTGGGCCCGGAACTTGGACAGTTTGTTGGCCGACCCCGAAGGCGTGAATCTGTTCCGGCAACACTTGAAGCTGGAAGAGGAAGCCGGACACGGTCAACAATGCAGTAAGGTGCTGGAATTTTGGTTGGCGTGCCAAGGGCTCTACGGTCACACCGATCAGAAGGCCGATAAGCTGCGGTCCATAATTTACAAGTAAATACAACAGTTGAAACATTTATTGGCGGTTGCACTCCGAAAGAAGCGTTGTTCTATAATAACTGATTTTTTTATTATTTTTTTGTGTTCTAGAAAATTGTTCCTAAAAGCAGATTTAGGTGTCAACGAAGAGTGTAGGATGCGCGTCGTGCAACGGGTAAAAAATTCAATGACCAACAAAACGGCTCTTCCCAAGCATCTCTTTGACGAAGCTCTCGTACAAGTCGAGGCTTTTTTAAACGATACGTTGTACCCGGCGTTCCTACAATCAGAAACGTACATCTCCTACATTCGGTCGTTGGATTGCGGAATAAAGTGAGTTGCCGACAACGACAACCCATATTATTATTATTAACTCACGACGTTTCCACAGTTTTTACGACGGCAAAGTGGTCAACCACATACCGGACACCGAAGAGAAAGTAATACCTTCGAGGTACCAAGCTCCGCCGCCCGAACACAAGCAACAACCCCTGATGACCCTCAAGGAAGACGCCGAGCTGTCCAACCACGACCTCAAACAGTCGAAAGACTTCCCCATGAAACTCACCCAGTCGCTTTTGCACATGTCCCAGAAACAACGATCGCATCTCGCCAAAGGAGAATTCCTGCAAAGGTACGTCGTATCGTTCATAACTGAGATCGTTTGACAATTTTTACGCATGCAAAAGTTTTATTTTGTTTCACATTTTTTTATCGAAACCACAACAGTTGTTTGTTAGTGTATTTTCAAGTAAAATGTATTTGTGTTGTTCCGTTAAAATACAGTTAGTCAGTCGATATTACTTTTTTATTTTTATTTTTTGCTGTTGAATTTTGTTGTATTGCATTGTGTTGCTTGTAACTGTACTTGTAGAGCAAAGACGTCCAAAATGGGCATCTATAACCCAAATCCCAGCACCCCTTACCATCAGTCCTGGTGGGGCACTAAGCCCCGAGCCACGCACGTGTCTTACAATCCGACCTCGGCACAGGACAGCGATTTGGCAAGTCTGAGCGAAGCGTCCGTGTCGACCGACTGTTTGAGAAGGTAAGTCATTGTTTGGCTATTCTATTAGCGCACACACAAAATACCGACATTGTCGTAAGTACCACACACCGTTGTTGGCATTAATTAAAACCGTTTGCCATTTACATTTTTAGACAATTGGCCGAACTGAGAGATCCAAAAGTACTAGCCAAGAAGAGCGCTCAGTTGGAAATGAAAGAAGTGCAAAAGTACGCACGGAGGAACGTCGAGAGTTCCATGTCGGCGGCCATCATACCTCGTACGATGAGAGAACCTCAGTGTATCGTGAGTGGACTTGGAAATAATTTATAAAATAAAAAAAGTAATATTATTGTAAAGCCTATAATTGTGTACGATGGGCTTTTTCAGGCGCCGGCAATGGAACCGAAAAAGTTTGCTTCGATTCTGAGCGAGAAACTGGAGAAAATCAAACAGGAACGCGATATCGAAGAAAAGTGGGATAATAAATTGATTAAGAATCTTTCAGAGGTAAATTGAACATAATAGTTTGTGATTTCTCCACATTGGCGTTTGTAATTTTGTCTAATCTGTTTTGTCTTCGTTGCAGCTCAAGTTTGACAGCGAGTCGGGCAAAATCGACGATCCTAAAATGCTTGACGAAATGTTCAGGGCTTCTTTGAAACTACCCGAAGGCAGCGACGATGAAATATTAGGTGTGTTGAACGATAACGTCGAAAAAATAGCTTTTGTAAATAAAGAAAATATATACTAACCCAAAAATATGTTTTTTTCTTACTAACAATGGTTGACTTCTTTTTTTTTTTTTTATTGACAAATTGGAGTTGAGCAAAAAGTTAAATATCGAATAACATAAATTGAATCTAATCAATTAAACAAACAAACGACTAATATCGTTATTTATCCAAATAAAAAGGATTATATTTTGTATTTGATCATCATTTTCAAACATTATTATATGAATAATGTATTCAAAAAGTTTGAATAAAACGAGAATATGTACTATGATAACACGGTTTTCCATTATTTAAAACGGTGAAATTAAACAATTATAAATACGAACAACATTACTCGAACCAAATTTTTGTACACATTAATTTTATTTGAATAATTTATCATTTAAATAAAAATACTATACTTTTGCTCAACTTCGATTAGCAATATATGCTGTCTTCTGTCTCATTTGTTGTTTACTTGCTGACGTCGTAATTGCATGGACTAAACGAAACGCGTTGTCTATTTATGTGTAGATCAACACGTACAAAAGTATTTCAAATCGCCGCCAAAATCGCCCGAACAGTCGTTACAAAGACGACAAGTGTTGGGCAAGGTCAACCGTCCCGTCCAACAATTCGCCAGCAGCTACTTGGCGGCGGCCAACCCTAACATATCGTCGAAACGTAGAGACAAAGTACGACGCCGTCGATGAACACTTTCTTTAGTCGTCGTCGTTGTCCGCTCTATTATTAAAATAAAAATGTCTGTGCTCTTTTTAGGACAATCGGATATCCGGTTACGATAGCGGCAACTACACCGACTTCACGACGGACAGCTCTGAACCGGGACGTCACGTTCCCAAGAGCCGATCCATTCCGGACTACCAAAACGCCAACTGCAACGCTGAACTCAGAGCGTCGAGTACGGAAATTACATATATATTTTGTTTGACGATTAATTAGTATATGTAAAATTAAATTTTAATTACTTTTTTTCCCTACTTCATCGTAGGTCTCGGCCGGCACACTTGGGGTAGCCGTCGCACGATGACCGACAGCGGGATCAGCGTAGTGTCCGGTCAATCGCAATTGCCGCCGACCAACGTGAACAAAACGCGAGAAGAGTATGTTTATTGGACGATAATTTTTTATTTAATTTTTTTTTAATATTTGTAACAAAATTTTAATTTGTCAATATACTTTATCCCATCCAAGCAGGTCTACCAACCGCTGCATGATATGGCTGCAGGAGAGTCCGATGTGTGCTGGCGACGCACTGGCCGATCCCGGTCCGGCGTTCAGCTGGTGCACGGCGTCTGCTAACACTGCCGCAGCCGTCGCCGCCTCCGCAAAATCCGCATCTCACGGTTTGTCGACTTTTTTTGCCGCCTTGTACAACTCGGTATTGTAATATAATTTTAATCGAGTGTTTACCATTCAGATTGCGGAAACGTCGAATGCGGTAGTAACGGTTCGTGGACGAATCACATGCCGCGACAGCCGTTTGTCGCCGACCCCAACATGCCTCCCCCGCCTTTCCCCAATACGGACAACCAGTTGATCGAAGCCGGTCGTAGGCTCAACGACCAGATGGCGAAGAAGAGTCATAAACAGAGGTATGTTGTTGTTAAACTCTCTTATTTAGTTTACCGTTTATATAACATTATTGTTATCGTTATCGTTCTTCTAGGACGTCTTCTTCTTCATCCGGCCGCGGCTTGCCCACGGACGAGTCGGCGCCGCCGTCCACCTCGAGTGTCGTCGCCGCTCCCACGTCGACCACCGTCGTGTACAACTTCAACGACGAAGAGTTTCCGTTCCGCAAGAAAATCGCCGGCCATCCGATAACGTTGAAACAGTTTATCGAATGTATGCCGAAGAAAGGACATTACAGGTATATTAATATACATTGAAGAGTTAAACCAGACAAACGACTAGTGTTAAAAGTGTTTAATTTATTTTTATTCTTCCAATCTTTTTCTAATTGTTACGTTTGTCTGTTTGTCGCTCAGGTACTTTTTTACGACCGAATTTGACGAATCTCCCGGCACCGGCATCCAAGAAGAGATTACCGACGACGATCAGATGCTGCCGCTGTGGAAGGGTAAAGTCATGGCTAGCCTGAGACTTATCGACTGATCATTATTATTATTATTATAATTATTATTTATTATACTTTATTATTATTATTTTTTTTTAAATTAAGATTAACTAAGAACTGTAGCTTAAGAACGACGTAAAGACTTGTATAGGATAATTAAAAACATTAAAATTATAACCATTAATTGTTTTTTTTTTTTTTTTTTTTTAATACCTTTTTTGACATTAAACTCGTCTATAAAGATAAAAAAAAAAGAAAAAAAAACAAATTGTTGAATATTTTTTGAAAAATGTAAATCAGTGCCTTAGTAGTTTTGTATACACGATAATTTTTTTTTTCGACGAATAATTTGTGACCGAACAATAATCGCTTGACGGCAAGATAAAAATTAAAATAAAATAATAAGACTTATTATTTTATATATAATAATATAAAATAACAACTGTATAGGGTTTTTTTTTTTTGTTATTACAAAACAAAAATTGTAAAGACTTTTATTAAACGATGTTTTTTTTTTTAATAATTTTTATTTACACTTTTTTTATTAACCTTTTTCCGTTAACTCTTACAAGAAGAGAGGTCATCGATAAAATGTTTTATCATGGAAAAATATATCATGTATTATAATTTATATATATTATATATTTGTTAAACGATGAAGTGCATAACCCAAAATAAATCTACCGTCTTAGAAAACAAATCTGAGGTGCAAAAAACCAAAAAGAGACAGATTAAGTACTATACTATTGTGACGATTGTATTTTGAAAATCAAAGATCAAAATCTTTTTGGAAACTGTTGGAGGGTGACGTCACACCTTAATGCTGAAACTGTCAGCGATCACCTGCCAGTTTTTCGGCAACGCTTTGGCGCCGTGGCCGACAGCCGACCGGTTGTTGACGGCCCGCACCAGGTTGACGAACTGCAACTTGGCCGTCAGGTGTTTGCCGGTGACCCGCGCCACGAACTTGCGGTCGTAATAGTCTTCCGGCGGGCCTTCCGCCCGCAGATGCACGTCGGCCTCTTGCCGGGTCAACAGCACGCAGTTCCAGGGCGACCAGCGCTGTTGCCGCCGCCACCGGACCAACCGCAACGCGGCCAGCCGGTTGGCCTCGCTCAAGGCCGACTTCTCTTCCCATATGACCGTCACCAGCCGGTACACCTCGGTGGGCTGCATCAGGAAGCACTCGGACTCGTAGCAGGCCATCCGCATCTCGTCGCGCCGCACCGCCTTGAGCAGCCGCCGGTACGGCGCCATGTCGATGTGCTTGTGGCCCACCTGTTCGGCCCATTCGCAGTTGGCGCACACGTTGGTGCGGTTCACGCGGCTCTCCAACGAGAAGTCGGTGGCGGCCAAGTTGCGTTTGCACCGGATGCAAGTGTACACGTTCAGCACGCGCTTCTCGGTGGGTCTGTAGTACGAGTCGGCCTCCGGGTTGACTTCGGGCTGCCGGATGAAGTGCCGGAACAGCTGCTCGACCCGCCGACGCACCGACCGCAGGCCGCCCGCGTCCACCCGGACACGCGCGATCAAGCCGTGTTCCATGTCGATCGCGTCCAGCAAGTAAACGGCGTACTTGTACGGCGAGTCGCGCACCACGGCGTACAAGTCCCGGAGCGCCCGCTCGCGGTCCGCGGCCCCGGCCGGCTGCTCGACGACCCTGGCGTACAAGTCCCTGAGCACCCTGGCCTTTTGGTTGCCCACCGTGTCGACGGTGAGCAGTTGGCCGTTCCGGTTTTTGAACATTTTCGGCTTGGACGTCTTGTTCAGGAACGTGATGTCGTCGTGTTTGGTCAGCTCGTACTTGAGTTCCAGCCGCTGTTTTTCCACCTCCAACAGGAACTTGATCTCCTTGTTGAGCAGGTTCATCTGCGCCGCCTTCCTGCACCGGTCCGCCCGGATCTCCCTGATCCGCTGCCTCTCCTTCTTCCACCACTTGCCGATCATCGTGTACAGCGCGTAGAAGTGCTGCTGCTTCGACTCCAGCGCCGACACGGCCGCCGGGTCCTCCGAAGTGCCGCTCGGCCTTTGCGCCGCCGACTGGGCCGCGCGCTTCCGGCGAGCCGCGGCCCGGCGGAAGGCCCTCTGGATTACCACCACGCTCGCCAGCACCCGCGCGTCTTCCGGCGACCCCGCGGTCCGGTAACCGCCGTACGCCTGCGGTCGCAGCCACCGGCCGTCGGCGGCCGTGTCTCCTCCGGCCGTCTGCGTCCGTTTGTCCGCCGCTGACCGGCCGACGCCTTTGTCGGCCGTCGTTTGGCACGCGCCGTCCGTCCGGACCACGTCCGCGTACGTTCTGGGCCGGAAGTCCGTCTGGGCGGCCGCGTTATGGTACACCTTGCCGGTGTTGCGGTCGCGGTAACCGCCCAGCCACGGTTTGTTGCCGGCCAGGCAGTTCTCGATTTCCACCACGACGGTCCGCCGGCCGGTGTGCACGCTGATCACGTCCATCGCCGGCAGGTAGTTGGAACGTTGGGGTGGCACGCGGACACCGCCGTCGGCCCGCACGTCCAACTCGAATGTGCCCAGACCGGCGGCGCCCAATTGCCGCAGACTCTGGCCGTCGTCGTCGAGCGTCGAGCCGTCCAGCAGTATGGATATGTTGTCCGCGTCGAGCAGTCGCTGCACTTGCGACCGCAGCACGCCCACGCCGGCGTCCAGGTTGAACGTCCGAGTCAACAACGTTTCGTTGGCGTCCGTCCGGAATTTCACCGTAACCACTTCGTCCGTACAGCTCACGTTTTTGGCCATTTTCCGACGTCGCGGTCCTCACTAAAACTAAATACTGTTCAACTATTGTGATACAGTCCAGTACGTAGTTACTACAGTTATTGTGACGCGCCCATTGATCACACACTTGCCTATTCGCAGCCGATAACCAAGGCAACCGACACAGGCCCTGGTACACATTGTTTTGTATTAGGTTATTGCCCTTAATTACATTTTTTTTTTACTGAACAGTAAATCTTAAATTAATTTTTTAAAAATATGTTTTTTATTTAATAAGAATACAAACTATTAATATCCTTATTAAAATAATATTTAAATCAGGATTAAGCCACTTAGTCTTATAAGATAATATGTTAAATATTATTATAATAATATATAAAGTTGTGTACCTAAGTAAAATGTTTTGAAGAAAAACAAACGCTCAACTTTTACAATAAATTGCTTTCAGATTTCGGATTTTTTGTGTCGTTTTATTTTTTAATTTTCATAAAGAAAACTAAACTTAGGTACACAGCTTTGTATTGTAATAATATTTAACAACACTTAAGTGGCTTAAATAGCGTTTTTTTTTTTTGTGAAAATCTAGATATTCGGATTCCCAACAATACTAATTCAAACACAGACTAGAATATTTTACATTTTTTTTATTTGAATCAATAACCAAAATACATTATTCTATATTTTTGTTCACTCAATCAAAATCTGGCTTTGGGATTTCAAATATTGTCAACGACTTGGAAAATCAGCAATATTTATTTGCATTAAAAAAGAAAATGTTTTAATACAATTTTGAGTTGATTTTCTACGCACAAAACTGGGCATTTTTTTATTTAAATAACAAACACTCATTTTGAGTTATTTAAAGAAAAAAAATGTATTTAATGTTTCAAACAATATTTTTAGATGATTGTTTTTTTATAAGAATTATTGTATCCATTTAAATTGTAAGTATACAATTATTTTGAATTAAAATTGTGTTTTTTATTTAAATATATTTTTGTTTTTAATAATTGACATTTTTACAACTAAACAATGCCCATATTTGCATTCAAATTTAAACAATATTATTTTTATGGAAAAATGTAATGGTTTTTTTTTACATTTATTGAATCATTTTTTATTATTATCATTATTAGACAATAATTGGCACATTTTTCGGTCGTGTACAGTTTATTTTTAATGTTTTTTTTTTTCTGCTAATAAACTACCGAGCACGATTAGCCGTGACTTTGTGACAAATTATTCATTTGTTTAAATTTTGAGAAATAATAATACTTTTATATTTGACTTTGCTTTAACTGCACAAATTACAGTTGAAAAGATCATAAATTAAAATTACAAGTGTACAATTTATTTACTCGTAACAGACGATTAGCGATTAGACGAACATTCAATAAACAACTGAGTTAACAAACTAAACATTTGCCAAACACGCCAAATGTCGTCGAACTAAATTAATCAAAGTAATAGTTTTATTGTAAAAAAAAAAAAAAAATGTAACAATAATACATATTTTAATATAACAAACGACATGGGCAATACGAATAATGATTAGGCACAATCGAACCTGGCCGACTTAAAAGTTGAGCTCGTCGATATTTATGTTTTTGTTCTTGAACATGGTGATCAGTACCGTTAGTAGAGGCCTGGAAAAATAATGAAAAAACTAACAGAGGGAAGGTTTAAAAAAAAAAAAATGAATGTCTCTCACAATTTCGACGATTGTTCGGTGTCTTCGAGATCGAGTTGAGACGCCATTTGTTTGCGAAAATCTTTCTTCCTGGGTTGCGTTCCCGATTCTGCGGAACAAAAAACCCGCAAAGGGAAGAGGTTGAATGTTAGATAGGTCTAAAACCGAACCGTCGACCGACTTTTGAATTACCTTTGACGAACATTCTGTCGGACAAACCGTAACCCATCCACTTCATGTATTCCGACACTAGACCGTTTATCAGCTCGACGGTTTCGGTCTGTTTGGGTTTTTCTTTGGCCACGGCGATTTGGCCATCGGTTTCGAGTACTTCGATGACTTCGTCTCGTACTTTCGACAGAAGGTCGTTCCAGGTGGAATTTTGTTCCAGACGCTGCTTGACAACTGTATCGTGTAACAAAATATGTATCGTAGTAAAAATTAAAAGCGGTGTGAACATTTATAATCAATAACAATGAAAAACTAGACTTTAGGTACTTAAAAGACTTATACAGTTGTACAAAGCACTTCGAACAAGCAAGTAAAGTTAACGATACATTTTTAATATTTATATTTTTTTACCCAACCGATTTCGATGGCAATAACAGAGCTATTGTTTACCTTCAAACGAACGGCTATGTGAATTCTGGCCTTCGAGTTTATCCATTTTGTAATTTTATTTTAAACAGATTTGTTTACACATTAAACAGTAGCCAAAGTGACATTTTAAGTTTTAATTTTACAGAAAAACAACACCGGTTGAAAAATATATTCAAACTAATTGATAACACAATATCGACACCAATATTATGTTGTTATCAAAACACTGTTGCCAAGCAACCGTATATAACCAGAAGGGAAACCTAGACCGGCGCTGACAAGTGTCCGCCGACATTTTGTTTTTGCGGACCGTTATCACGGTTTTTCGCCCGGGTCAGTGTCGCCAGAAACATCGGAGAACTGAATTTGTTTTGACCATTATGGTCTGGCTCCCTGCTGAAAAAAACAATATGGCGGCCGGCCTTTGGAACCAATGGAACCCGTGTCATTTTTTTAAAATTAAGCTTCCCTTCTGGCTGTCTTCTGTGAGTATACTTTCCATAATCGTACTTGAGAAAATCATTTTCGGAACATACTCTTCGATGGAAAATAATATTTTTAAACGGTAACAAAACACTATTTCAATATTAACTATCATGAAGAATGATCAATTTTTGATTTTGGATCTGTAGACCTGTGACTTCTCCTTCCCCACTATGCCCCGACCCCACTGTACTGGCTTTTTTATATTATGTTCAAAATCAGCTGTTAACCATTTCACTATGATGCTGTCAATAAAATTGTATTCGACGATTATTAAATTTCTGATTTAAATAATAATATGCAGTAGGTACATTAATATCCTATAAAATAATAGTATTCAGTAAAAAGTTTAAATATTTAGTATTTTTTCTTCTTCAAAATGAATTATTTAATATTCATCCATTTGTTTCCAATCTCCTCTGCTCAGCCCTAGCTTTTTTTTTAAATAAATACTCTGATATCAGATAGTATAAATCGATAAAAGTCTATTAGAAATAAGAATACCTACTTAGGTATAATATCCATACTTCGTTTGGATATTTTAAAATTATATTTTCATAGATTAAAAGAGTTTTTGGAAGTTTTTGGTATTGTACCCTTCCAAACGTTAGTAGAATTAAATTTCTAATAAGTGATGTTGTAAGTAAATACTGAAAAGTGAAAAAAATGTTTTTATTCAAGCCCGGCAAAGACTTGGCTTGAATTATCTTTTACCTCGATTTTGCCTATGTAGAAATACAATTTAAGTGATAATTAGTAAAATTAGTATCGACTAGCTGCAAAATAGACACATCAGTTATTGACTGTTCTGTTAATAGTTGTAGGTATTTTTAATTTACCATTATCTTCAGGTAAGTACCCTAATAGTTTTAACAAATGTGTCTTCATTCCTATACACAAAACGGGAAGTAAATAATTGGTCAGTAATTATTTCAGTCGATAATTATTATAATAATTATTAGACTGTAGCCGTAATATCGTTATCACTGTCTCTATCAAAAATATGTGTATAATCATTAAATCCCAAGTAAAGAATAATTGCTTAGAAAATAATATTTTTTTTCCTAAAAACCAATTTGGATTTTAATAATTGGCGTTAGGTAGCTAAAAACGAAAACGTGTAACGCACATCGGTCGATAAATCAAACAAGTATTACAAATATTGTCTGGTTTCAGAATATGTTAAAACGTTTGCATGGGTTGTTTGAGCAGATATAATTGATTCTTAAATTAACTGTAAGCTAATATGTTAACATAATATAAGTCGGTACGATAATTTTTGTAAAAATAAAAAAAAAAAATTGAATACTAGGTACTTATGTACATCGAACATGATATATTTGACAGTTATTATGTTTTGTCGTTGGCTCCCATCTGCTGTACAATTATTTATCTGCTAAATCAACTTAGGTATACTTATTTTGGAGTCGACGAAATCAAACGTTCATTCTGTTGGAAATTGTTGAACTCATTGTACCTGTGAGTGTTAAATAAAAAGTTTCAATGATGAGATCTATCATTTTCCCAGTACTGTTTTATATTTTCATTGTGTCGTGTAGGCGTGTAGACGGAGGTAACAATTGTTTAAGAGGTAAAATTTCAAAATGTATTCTATAATTTCCACCTTTGTATGTATACAATAATAATATGGCAAGTGTGTAAAATTATGTTCACTTGTGTTTAACAAGCTTCTGCCAGTTTGTTTTTTATGTTACCTATTTCAAAGTCAACAAATTAAAAGTAAAAGTCCAAAAATCAGAAAACAGTCAAGTACATATTATTATCTTGTGACAGTGGAAAATCTATTTTATAACATTTCTAGCTACTTAAAAAAGTCGACAAAAATGCATGAGACTAGCATACTAGAGTTGGTAACGCTGTGTGGTATAACGATACGTGGTTCGAATCAGTCGTACCACAACATTTTATTTATATTTAGCATTTATTTTTTATTTTTTAAACTTAAAAAATATTTAAACACACGTTTGTCAGTGTTTTGTTAGGAGTTTCGAGGAAAGAATATATAAACATTATATTCTCCATCCCAATGTTTCAATACAAAATAAAATTATTTTTAATTTATTATCTTTTTATCTTACTTTGTTATTTTACTTTTTTCAATATTACCCTTATCATTGTTTTTTTTAGCTTCGAATGAAAAATTGGCGGAAGAGTTAAAAATGGGTGATATAGTTGAAGTTCAATCACCCAAAAGTAAGTATATATAATTTATTTGTAAATACTAATAAAACATGAGCACATAAACGGCTGTAGAACTATTGAAGTTTAAATTTTATTACTTAGCTAAACCAACAACTTCTCATTAGGGTGCCTCAAAAATACCTTAATATAATGTTTTTTCTCACAAGAGTATGTGTTTTTTTGGACAAAACCAACATTTTCTTATTATTCTCTTTTTCATAGGGAGATCATTTTTTTTAGATTTGGTTTTGCTTTTATGAGTAATGCTGAAAAAAATGTTTTATATGAAAATTATCAGCATAAAAAAAAGAAAAATGTCCATAGCATTCTGATTAAAACATACTAATATTAACAAAACTTAATAAATGCAAATGTTTGCAACATTATACATTAAAATGTACTCTATCTATCCCAATCGTTTAAAACAAGATAAAATTATTTTTAAGTTAGGCATTGAATTTGTATTATACTTTCTTATTTTTCTTATTTATTTATTTATTCTTATTTTACTCTTTTCAATATTACTCTATCGTTTGTTTAAGGTTTAGAGAAACAACTTAAAAAGTTAGATGTCGGTGATGTACTCATGGTTGGTGTTCCCTCATCACCTAGTAAGTATATTTAATGTATTTTAAATGCTAATCAAACATGAGTATATTAACTGCTAAGAACTATTGAAGTTTATTGCTCAAAAAAACCATTTTTCATTTGTTTAAAAAACCTTAATATAGTTTTTGTCTTATAAGAACATGTAGTTTGGACAAAAACAAAAATTTTCATATATTTCCAATATTAAAATGTAGAGGTAATTGTGGACTTTTCGGCGAGAGTTCATTTTTCCCAATCTTTGAATAAAAAAATACAATTATATTTTACCTATTAACGTATTTTGATTATACTTAATAATTTTACTCTTTACAATAATACTATATAACTTTTTTAGTTTCGAAAGAAAATCCTGAAAATCCTAAATTTACTGATATACTTGAAGTTGGAGTTCTATCATCACATAGTAAGTATATTTAATTTATTATAAATACTAATAAAACACGAGTAGCTCTGTTAACGGTTGTAGAACTGATGAAATTTACTAATTAAATAAAAAAACCAAAAACTTTTCATTGGGATGCCAAAAAAAAACCCGTAATATAGTTTTTCTATTACACTTTTTTCTATTACTCTTTTCAATATTACTCAACAATATTTAGATTCGAAAGAAACACCTGAAGAGATTAAACTAGATGATACACGCGAAGTTGGTGTTCAACCAGCCAATAGTAAGTATATTATTTTAAATACTAATAAAACTCGAACAGATAAACAGCTGTAGAACTGTTGAAGTTTATTACTTAAATAAAACCAATAACTTCTCATTAGATTGCCTAGAAAAAATCTTAATATATATATATATATATTTTTTTCACAAAAGCAATTTAAATTTAAAAAAATATATATATTTTTTTTCAAACATGAATTTTTTTTCTTCAATATTATATATGATCTCTATCCCAATATTTCCATACAAGATACAATTATTTTCAAATTATTAACTTTTGTTATTATACTTATTATTATTTTACTCTTCAATATTACTTACTCTTTCATTTTATTTTAGATTTAAACGAAGAGTTAAAAAAAGGTGATATAGTTGGTGTTCAATCAGCCAATAGTAAGTATTTCTAATTTAGGTTGAATACTAAAAAATGTTGAGTAGAATAACGGCTGTAGAACATAATAATATGTTGTCTGAAGAAAATACTGATAGTTATTAAATTTATTATTTATAAAATAATAAGTATTATAACTCGAGATTTTGACATTTTATTTTAGGGTCTGGGTTGGAATACGGTGTGGTTAAGAGAGGTAAAGAACACATAGAGATGTACCGATATTCGCTTGTTAGATAAATATTATAATAATTTAATACTTTTTCGTTTTCGTATAGACGGAAGATCTCCTTTTGGAAGTCAAAGTAATTACACATATTTTTTTTATCAAGTACATAACAATATTTGTCAGTATTATATGCAAAAATTACACAAAAAAAAAAAAAAACTAATAGTAATCATAGTTTAAATATTGTAAAACTATTCATTTGTATTGCTTTTGGTTTGTTATAATAATTTGTTAGCCAAAGTACAATAATAATAATAATAACAATGTGGTAATTTCTGAAACACAAATGCAAACCTAAGTTTTTGATATGACTTCATTATGTTTTATTTTACAGAAATTCTTGAACACCGTAAATATAGGTAAGTAATTACATATTGGTTATGGATTAGATTATTGACTTTTATGTTTTTTGTCTTTTTAAGTTCACAAGTCAAACTAATTAATTGATTAAGTCAAGTTTAATGTGTCACAAGTCACACATTTTTACTTATTATTCAATATGTAAATATTGAACGACAAGGAGCTTTTTTATAATTAATCAATTAATCGATTTTCAGAGACTTTGACTACGAGACGTACAGAACAAATATATTTGAGTGTATCGGAAATTTGAGTAAGTTTTGTAAAATATCTTGTTTTACAAGTTGTTTCCATTCATGTTGGAGTCTTACTTAAATAAATCGGCATAGTTATATTCAAATATTTTCAATGATTAATATCACTCCAACCGCTTGAATTAATAGGTTTTGATAGGTAGAATAATAATTATGTACAAACTGTATTCTTTATTCCCGTCATTCAGTACAGCTTAATAATTTTTATTTCAGGTCCAGATGAGGTAGTAACTAGTGAACATTTTGAAGTAGGGGACATAATCGGATATATGTATGAAGATAGTAAGTATAACTTTATTTCAAATAAAAATGAAGTAGCATAACGACTGTACAATTATTAAAGTTTAATCTTAAAACTTAAATATAACGTATCATTTTACAATTATAAACAAAGGAAGTCTGTTAATTAATTTTGAATTGGACCAAGCATAAATTGTAAATAAAAAAAGTTAAATCAAGAACAGGATAAACGGTACTTAGTTAGTTAGTAGACAAAACCTAGTCCAGTTTAAGCAGAGTCAATGTTTTATCGCCAAGTAAAAATCTAGTTGAAGAAAAAAAGTGATGTAGCAAACTAGAAAAGTTAAACCAAGTGCAGTGTAAACCAGCACAGTTATAAATTACCAAAATGGGGTTCTATACCTTCAAATAACTCGAATAAGATTGTGTCACATAACATGCAGCCCAATTAAATAAAAGTTGACATTTGTGTCATATTCAAACTATCATCAAGCAAACGTACCATTTTTGAAGATGAATATATCATTTTTTTTAAATTATTTGTTTATTCTACAAAGTCACATTCCTATCTTGTATTTTTTAACTCTAATATAAGGGGTGAGAACACACTCAATTTTTATGGTGTCACAAAATGTTAGTTACTTACTGAATTCTGTTATAAATCACCTATATACCTATAAAAATAAACAATTTTTTTTATTTTTAACATACATTTATACGTCTCACAATATAATAGTGTTAAGTATTTTACAATAAGTTAGCCACGACAATTAGTTATAGATTATTGGGTTTTTATTTTAGAGCCCGGAGTATCATATAGATTGTTAAAGGACAGTAAGTGCACCTTTGATTAACCGATATTAGCTTTTTCTTTTAAATACATTTATTAATAATATAATACATAATATGTTTTCATACAGAAAAAGTAAGAGAAACTCTAGTTACTTTGCTACAGGCATACTCTCTGGGTAATTATACATTTTTTTATTGAAGTACATAAAAAATGTTGTCAATGTCGACTTCATTAGCTACAAAAAAAAAAAAATTGCTTAGGAAATATTGTATAACAAATTGATAAAAAAAAAGTAAATTATTATTACTTTATCCAAAACTGAGTAAGACATTTTTACTATAAAGGGCGTAAACAATTATTAAGTATTGAACTAGGTTTTACAAGTAGCTCTACAAATTATTTGCAAACTAAAAACTCAGTTAAGTTCACTAAATGTTTTACGAAAAACATTGTGTGCCTAGTAAAGTCAAGCAACAGACATTACAGTTATGTTTTTGTCAGCCTGCAACTTTTTATGTTTTTTTACAATGTGTAACCGCATTCAATGTGCATAATAAGAAAAGCAACATCACCGAAGAAACTAAAATATTTCAACTTCCTTTTGCTCCATGTTGTGTTGTACATGATGATTTTTTTCAAAAACATTATTAGTAATGCTTATTTAATACCTGTTTTTTTTTTTACAGACATGTTTGCCATTTTCAAAAACACGTAAGAAATTATACTGCAATTTTAATATGTATCTAATTTAAGTTTAGATTTTCAAATAACTCTTGAATCAACTTGTTAATGAAATATCTAACATATTATTCTTTATGCATATAAGTAAGTATAATAAGGAGTATAACAAAACGATACTGTGTTCAGATGAAAGATTTATGATTTATCAATATAGTCTGGATATAAATTAAATTAACGACTAATGGGATTTTTTATTTCAACCAGAATAATAAAAGGCGAATTTCCTCTTATGGTTTACAGTTTAACGACAAATATTGTTCTATTCGATATTATTATTTAATAAATTATTCGACTGTTTTCAGGGATGATAAATATTATGAAATACTCGACAAATATATTGGTTGGAATTAGATATGGATGGCATCGACATCATAGTCAGTAACACTAACTGAAGATAACTAAGATATATGTTACGTGTTTTTTCAAAAAATAAACTATTTTATCATAATATTGTTTTTGTCCATGTGTAAATCACTTGGTCAAGGCAGCACTCGGTCTACAGTGACCATCTCTACAGAAAGTGCATATTAACACAACTAATCTTGTTTTATACAAATCACCCGTATAGTGGATACCAATCAAATATCATCGACATCTGTACTTTGTTTACTCTACACTCGTTTAAAAGCCATAAGTCTTGTGACTTATGCTGTAATCATTTTCAAATATAAGTAATATGTTGAATTAAAATTATTTATTGAATATTCCGTCATAAATTTCAACTGGAAAGCTGTACTGTTGTATGATCATTATATATAAAACATTAAGCGAAAACCGTTTCGGGCGAATAAATGGCGTCGGTGTATGTTGTGTTGCCATTACCGTATAATTTTAAGGGGCGGAACATATTGTGTTCCCGTACAGCGACGATAATTGTGTTACAAACTCAAACGACCTGTTAAAAATTTTGATTCTGATTTTGTACAGTCCCCTAACCAGATCTAAATTATCCGATAAAGTATTTGAACAACAAATGTTCCTAAAAGGCACCCAAGAGCTTATTACTCGAAATGTAGATTAAAAATTAGAACGTGCAATATACATGATGATAATGAGATTAAACCACGGTTTGGTCTATAGTGATTATTTTTATACAATTTCTATACATTGAGTATTGTATACATAATATTATTAGTTTTTATCGACCGAATCGTTGATACAAAGAGGATTATTATTATTCGTTTTGACCGTGTTAATAATTTTAGCGGCTGTTGTAAGATTAGTTTTTGCGTTGTAGCATTTTTATATGTATGTAAACTACAGCAATGAAACCATTGACTATGTCTATTTTATAATCAATGATATTAGCAAAAAATCAAAGCAACTGCCAACCTTGCGCTTTTTCCTCATATACAGCTTACACCGCTTACAAGCCGGCCATGTAAATATATTGAATTGGGATTAACCTTTAATGATAAACTCTATAGAATTGATCAGACAAGTGGCAAAAACACTATTTTTGTGTTTCCGACAGAACAGTTATGCTTCTTCCACTGTTAAGTGTGTGTCTGTGTATTTTTTCATTATTGTTTATTTATATCTACTGTTTTAAACGTGTTGTTGTACTTGGTTGTGCGTTTCAGCAATTTTTTCAGTGATGTTTATGCACAAAATATTAATCAAAATGAATAGAATTTTGCAAGATTGTCTATGCGTAACGGCGCTTCTGTGTATTTACTTAGCTACACCCGTACTAGGTAAGTCGATTACAATAGTAAGTATATTGTTGTGTGATTTCATAATAAACAGACTTTCTCTACTACGGTTTCCTTCCTCATTATGTGTAATTTAATAGTAGAATTTTCGGTAAAACGTTATTGCGGCTCGTTTGTGCTTTTTGTTTGTGAAAAACAACCAGTGGGCCAAGTAGCAAAACCGTTGCCAAAGTATTGAGACCACTAGTAATAGCTTGTAAGTGGAAAAAATATCCCACTCTACGGAATGGTACTAAAAATAGATTTTTTGGAATTTTATTTTTGTAAACTGTCCAAATTGTAAATTCCCAAAAAAAATTCACTTATAAAAAATACCGACACTGGAAATTATCGTTAGGTAACGCTACCAATTGTCTTGGTTACGTTTATAAAGGTCAGTGACGTTTACAATAGGTATGCTTCAAACATTTCTTAGTGGATTATTATTTTCGTATATTTGTAATTTCCGTCGAAATTCTACTAACATATCAAATTTATTAAGCTTTGGCTCCTGTAATACCTGTACCACCGGGAAATGTTGAAACCGTTGACGGCCATACGGTGACGATTGACTGTAAAAACTTTGGAGCACCCAAACCTCATGTGAAATGGACAAGGAACAACATCGAGTTGACCGGTGGGCGTTATTCGACTTTGGGCAATGGTGATTTGCAAATAACGTAAGCAATGTATAAGCAAATATAAATTAATTAATGATGTAACGTTTTAGTTTAAAGTTATTTAATTAAGTATTATCACAGATTAAATAAAACCAGATATTGCACTTTATATGAAAATAATAGATTTTAAAAAAAAAAAGGTTTTTAAATGGTTTAAACTTAAAACTTTATTCGGCATGGCCAAATTACATCGCCGAAAATATTGTACACACTGTTGACTGTTTACAATAATAACGTTAACTGATAAAACTTACTGATAATAAGTAGATAATATTATCTATTATCCTTGGTCGATGCTGATAACATTACTGTTGTTTGATAACATTACTTTGACCACACTGTATAACAGAAGAATATTATATTATTCATTTTTTTTTGGTCACACTGACCCGAGATTATTAAAGGTTGTTTACATTTTTATATTTGTATTTAGACTGCACTATCTGGTTTTACTTAATCTGTGGTTATTATTATTACTGTTGTATATCATTAATTTTAAAATGCCTACATAGTATATTCTATTTTCAGTAATGTTCGTTTTACTGATGTTGGGAACTACATGTGTATCGCTACTAACAACTTGGGATCTGTAAATGCTTCTGGATCCTTGACTGTGAAAAGTAATAAAAAAAAAAAAAATAGTATTTTTCAATAGTGTATTCGCAACTGTACCTACTTTTCTATACTCCGTCTCACGAGAGAACGGTACTGTGTAGAAACCAAAATGCATTATCCTCGTATGCGCCTGCGCAAACATAAGTGACGCGTTTGGCTTCTGCGCAGTACCGTTCTCTCGTGAGACAGATGCCTCTGCTCTTATTAGTACTTCATTGTGTATTTATATAACTTATATAAAATATTATAAAGTGGTTTGGTCTTTAATTGATTTGAAGAACCCACCAGAATCGCGGATGCACCTAAAGATTCTAAAGTAGTGGCCGGAACGATGGTTACTTTCCGTTGTACGGCTGTTGCTGATGGTTCTTTGAATTTGAACATTGAATGGTTAGCCAAAGGCGAGCCGATTGACTCTGATACAGATCCACGTTTTATAATAGCTAACGACTTTTCGTTGGCTATAACAGAAACGATAGAATTGGATTCCGGGATCTACACTTGTCTGGCTAGAACCGAATTAGACCAAGCGTCAGCCAGCGCAATGCTTATTGTTCAAGTACACATAGTTGTTTTTCAACTCTATCAATTTTGTTAATATTTTCTTGTGGTTTTTTTTATTTCTATGGAAAGCCGTACGCGCCTCGGTCATTAGAAATTTCAAAGAAAGAACCGGCTGTAAGATGGCGGCAACCCGAGGGTGAATCTAATGTGCAAATCCGTGGATACTCAGGCAAAGATGGTAATGGCTCACTCACAATAGTCGTCCTAACGGTCCTTTTAACCCGTTGATAACGTTTGAATACTCCAGAAGGAAGTTTGAAGTTTTACTCTTGTTGAACTAAAGAAATAAATGTGTTATTAGTTCCCGGACCGGTGGATGGCATCGGAGCGGAACAATGGGGATCGTCGGCGATTTTGTTGAGGTGGAAGCCCCCGAAACAAACAAACGGTGTGTTAACCGGATATCGTATATCGTATCAAAAAGTGATCGAAGTAACAGTGGGCTATACGGAAGAAAGGCCTGCGATCAGCAATCCAGAACAGACATGTGTTAAATTGGCTGCACTAAAACCGGAGACAATTTATCGAATCTACATCAAAGCAACAACTAACGCCGGTTCCGGAGAACCGTATGTAACAAAGAAATAGGCACATTCCGTGCAGAACATTTAACACATGAGTTGTTTATTTCAGGTATTTCATTGAACAACGAACCAAACCTGCATTGCCGGAAGGCATTCTTTTAGACAAACCCGAATTTACTTACCAACACATGGCGACAGATGGTGTTTTCAATACAGTTCGCATAACTTGGTGTCCAGACCTACGTGGTTATCCTGGGTCACATTTCTTTGTCCAGTACAGGTAAAGTTAGTATATCATTTTGTTCAGTGGTATAGTTGTAAGTACACACAGTAAGTATGTAAGTATACAGTGTATACTTTAAATCCTATGCGACTGCGCCACTGAATTTTATTCATGTAACCTAAATGGCCGTTTCGTTAGGTTTGTGCTCATAGTTTTTGTTAATTAATTCATTTTAGATTTAAAGGCGACACAATATTTGTAGAAACGCCGCCGGAACTTGACAAAAACTACATAGATGTCGGGGGTATAAAATCCATGAGATTGTATGAGTTCATAGTTGTTGCTGTGGACGGTGAAACAACTAGACAGTCGGACCCGTTAGAAATCAAAGTGTCGAGCTGGGATTTTTTAAAAATTAAAATTTTAGAACTGTTTTATTATTATTTAAATTATTTTTTGAAAAATGAAAATACATCCGCGAGTAAGTGCCAAATCATAAATTGTTTATAGCCGTTATTTAATATTGTTTAAACAATTGGACTAATTGGCATACATATACCAGTGTTATTTTTATACTAGATATGTAGGTATGTATTCTCTTTCATTTTATCTCCAATGTTTTATCGTTATGAGCCAAATTAAAATGTTGTTATTATTCATTCTATTTTAAGTTGGACATTTTTACTGACCTTGTTGAATTTATGGAGTTGTACAATATATAATTTAATTTGCCTCTTAAAAATATACATAACTTTTACATAAATGATGATTTTTTTTAAGGTTTTTATTTTTAAAGTAATTTAGACATTTAAAAAGGAAAATATTTATTCTACACAATAAAAAGTACCTTATTTAATGTGCCATTGCTTGCTAAAACTATACATTTAAATTATTTGAATTTATCATTTATTTATGGAAATAAATTATATTTACAAACCATATTAATATATTTTTTACACATTCATCCAAAGGAACTCCGGGGGGGGGGGGGGTTAGGTCAATGTTAAGTAAATAGTATATTATCTGGTTGGATAAAATTGTCAACTTTGCCAACAAATTTTCGTGATACAGCAGCGATAGCTGGCTATATTCACAATTATAAAATTATACATCTTGGATCAAAATTTATCGGCTAATTGTGAAATTTAGTACCCACAATTTTTTGTATGTAACTTAATAAAAGTTATAACAGTAAAAGATTTCAAAATTCTCTTTATTGTAATTTGATAGATGTAAAAAAAAGAAAAGGAATAAGTAAAAAATTACAAAAATAATTACAACTTTACAGTTAATAAAATAAAAATACATACAATCTTATTTAAGTAGCACAAGTTGATAACGCTCTAAAAATACTAATAAAGGTATATATTTGGCAATTTTGTAGCATTGTACAGTATCACAAATAGAAATGATTAAAAATACCAAGTTGTGAATACTCTACGAGAAAATAAGTGTTATACATTAAACCCGGTATATCCCTGGTAATATCATAAATCCAATAGCCAAGAAAAAGATCTTTCTTCATCACCTTAGCAGACGTCGTCGCTCTACCCTTGCTCTACCCTTTAAGTTCGACTAGTATTGTCATATTTTATTAATAAGATATTCGGCTAGCCGCTAGGTATAGCAAATTGCACAAGGAACACACAGGTCTTGAAAACCATTGTTTTAAAGTAATAATATTTTATGGGAATATTATTAAAAAAAAATTATATTATACAAATAAAAAAAAACACAACAGAATATCCAACGACCTTAAATTAAATATTAAATAATTGTCTTAAATTATAATAAATTGTTAGGTACTTATGAATTTTTTAATCGACTACAATAACCTTAAAATTAAAATATGCTAGCCTGCCTACCATTAGACTATATATTTATATGTTATTCCTTATTATTGTATTTTTTGCATATGGTTACCATGGGAATTAATCATTTAAATATATATATATATATATATATATTATAAGATTATAATATATATTTTATATAACTATAAATTTAACTTTTCTATTTTAACTTAATAGTATGATTTATTTTACAATGATCGAGTGGTATTATATTTGAAAATTCTTGTTGTTTTAAATATATTATCTGAGACTATTATAGTATATTACACGTGCTGTAAGACGTGTCACAGCTCAAACATTAGACAGACAGATACTAAATAGACATCCTATATTATTTTATTGACCAATATGTTTTCACTTCTTTATTTAGTATTTGCACGATAATATATTAAGTTAATCTTATTATATAAAACTACCAATAATCGCTGGCAAATATTATAAATATATGTATACAGAGTGTCCCACAAAGATCTGACAAATAAAATAAGTTTTGTTCCAGTGAATATTTTTAAGATTTTTGTTTGTTAATAAATTCATACTTATTGGCGCTATAAAAACCATGGTTTGTTTAATATCACTTTTCTTAATTTATTTATTATTTTTTTGGTGACTTTAGTTTTTTGAAATTTAAGACAGCTATTTTATTGGGAATAATTTGCTGATAACTCTATGCAATTACTCTACTGCACTCCACCTCCCATTCTAGCCTTTATTCTTTAATAACATAAAAAGTAATTATCCAAAACTGGTTATTGACCAGTCGAAATTTTCAGCAAATTATTAATTAAACCCAGTGAGATATTGAGTGGCCCGTGATAAAAAGAATCGCCCTGTATATATATATATATATATAAATTATCTTTAAAACATATCACATCAATCAAATATCATTTAATATATTCTTCAAGTTTTAATAATTTCTATCTAAATTTCGATTCTAAAAAATGATTAATAGTGTTCAACGTATACAACACTATATCGTTTAAATTTAAATTTATAAAAAACCATTTTATTTGATTTTATTAGGTTTTTAATTTGGCTCTATATAATTATGATTACTTAAAAAATTAAAATAATTTTTTTCTGTAATAAAATCATATTCTATACCACAAAAACTAATTAAGCATTAATTTATATAAAATATGTAAATATGTAAGTAAGTTTTCAATAAAACTCATTGTTTTAATATACTATACTACTATATTATTTTACTCATACACGAAATAATGAAAACCATTAAAATACGTCTGACCTCCAAAACAAGTATAAAACAATGCTAATATAATATATCCTACTAAAAAGAATATATATCCTACGTAGTCTTCAAACAGGGCAGTTAAATAATAAAAAATAATTATTATAACATGTACATAAAGTAAAACATTTTTCAGTATACTTTATTTTCTTAATTTTTACGCTTATTTAAGATTTTAACTTAATTATTCTTATCAATCTTTTTGATTTATTATCTTATAATAGTTATTCATACAAATTAAAATGGACTCTTTCGTTAATCAGATATTACATTTTGGCTGTTCTTCTTCCTTGTATGTTTTTGGACTCACTGCAATTATTGGATTTACATATTATTATTTGACATCTGTAGTCGAAGTAAGAAGTTAAAAATATATTATTATTTGATTTAAATCTAAATTCTTCAGTTTTTTTATACTTGTCATTTCCGTTCGGTCGCACCAAGTTGAAATCAAAAGTTTTATAAAAAGAAAAAGGTAAAAAGTTCCTATTTAATCCAAAACTTTTGATTATAACTTTTGGAATACTTTTTAAATAGAAACAACCCCTGAAAATTCGAGTTTCCATAATTTTTATTTATATTTATTTCAAAATATAATTGCTGTTCTTCATTTCAAGCCAAGCACATCACACAAAACAAAATTTAGATTTCAACTCCTTCCTTTTTTTTTTTATACACTAGATCCACTCTTGATTTATAAACCGTTATAAATAATTATAAGCTAATAAAAAAAAAACCAACATTTAATACAAAACTTTATTAACTAATTGTCAATAGTGTACCTATGTGATCCCTGACATCATTTAAAAAAAAAGATGTACAATATTATTTACATACAAATCGTGTACTCAGGAACCTAAGTTACACTGCAAAGACGGCGATTTCAAGAAGTTTCTTTACCAACATGTACCTCTTACCAAAAAACACATTTGGCCGTTGGCATTGGGTTTTGGACCTGGTTTGAATACTGTGATAGCATTTTGTGTTCGATATTTATTTGTGCCGTCCGTAAAATATGACAGGTACGTTCCCAGTACTGTTGTAATGTTATTGTATGGCATAATTTATAAAATTAATTTTTTCTAGAGAACTGCTGGACCTTAAAGACGGTGGTCATGTAGCATTAGATACTTTACAGCCAAATGAAAATTCAATAAACGGAGACGTCACAATTTTGGTAATGCCTGGGTTTGGTAATAGTTCTCAAAGTGGGTATGTGAGAGCTGCATCGTTGGCCTTACAAAAGTCTGGATACCGTGTGGTTGTTTTTAATTATAGAGGAGTTGGGGGACTCAAATTAAAGGTTAGTGATAATATCATAATATATATTTATATATAACGGTTGAGAAAGATAATTTTGTTTACCGATGTAACTTTGAATAGTTTATATACTGAGTGTTAATAAATTTGGTGGATGAATATCTTTACAAAATACTGAATAAACGTTTAAAATTTAACATCGTGTAAAAACCAATAATTTTTCCTTAAAATGTTGATCATTCCAAAGGTATGTTTGTCATAATGGCATCTTTGGCCCTAAAGACCCATTAAGCTGGTGGAAATTTTTTTTTCACAGTAAACTAATTTTACAAGTTTAACAGTAGGTACATTATAAATTGAGATTCACGTATTGTTGACGAAATTAAAACACATAATTATACTTCTGATATTTACATGGACTTAATGCACATTTTCAATAGAAGTTTCTACGTTTTAATTGTTTGATTTCATGGTTAAATGCAATATATCTAGCGTACTTTTAAGCTATCAAGTCAGCAAATCTTTAAATTTTGTAACGCATGTCACAACAAACAACCTCAGATCTAAATATATTAACTAACTTCTTATTTCGACGAAAACATAATATAATTGAGAAATGTTTTTAATTTGGAGTACATAAAAAAAAATACAGTTATTCGATAGAGTAGTGAAGTTTTTCTTTAAATATTATATAATGGACCTCACCAAAGTAATTAGCCTAATTAATAAAATACGACGTCCGTCGTGGGAAAAAAAATTTAAAAAAGGAATTTTTTTTTAAATTTCTTTTGTGGTAAAACATTATAGCACACCGCAAAGAAAATAACAATAGGTTTTTAAGATTTACATATTATATCCAAACGAAAAAGTCTGTTGTACGTTTTATTCATTTTCTAGTAAAAGCTGTTTAAAATTTTTATGTATTATTTAGACGCCAAGAAGTTTTACCGGACACGATTTAGAAGACGTTACAGAGGTAGTTAATCATGTAAAACAAAAGTACCCCAAAACCATTTTGGGCGGCTTAGGAATATCGATGGGTTGGTAAGTAGGTATAACTGTTGCAACTGTATACAAATGTATCAATATCACGGTAACTTTTGTTCTATAGTACGCTGTTAGGAGTCTATATGTGTTCAAACGAACAATACACTCACAAACGTTTAAGTGCAGCAATGTTTTTATCAGCGCCCTGGAATGCACACTCTATCGCATCATCTATGTCGAAAAATATCACGGGCCGTATGACTGATTTGGCGATGACACGTTACATGATAAACAGCTATGTGAAAAGGTTTGTTATTTTCTATTCCGCCATAATATTGTATAATACAGCCAGCCATTATAGTATGATATTTATCATGTTCATTCAGCAACAGCAAAGTCCTGAATTGTCCAAACCAAAAATGGAATTACAACGACGTGATTAAGGTGCGAACATTTGTAAGAGTTTCGTTTAAAATATAATTTATTCCATTTTTTTTTTTTTTGTTGCGATTTCAGTGTAAAACCGGAGTAGAATTTTTTAGAAATTACACAATTAAGATGTTGGGCTACAATACGGTTGAAGATTACTTTGATTCGGTTTCATTGCATGACAAAATAGACCGTTTTAATATACCATGTTTGTGCTTATCTGCTGCTGATGACCCCCTAGTGTCCGGTATAATTATGTTAAAATATTCTATACAACAAAATTACATCTTATATATTTACTTGAAAAAAAAAATAATACAAAACTGCAGTTTGCAAAATCTGATGAAACGATTTGCGTGCAAATTAAACTACGCGTATCTTATAAATTTATATATCAAATATGTGTCTTCAATCCTGATTTAAAACCATATAGGAAATAGCCCAGAAAACTAAGCAGGTTTATAGAACAATAAAATCGTACACAAAAAGTACTTTATACTATTAAAATTAAAAAAAAATCATTTTTCTCTGTGATGTACTATGACATAATTGTTTGAATTAGTTTTTTAGACATAACCCTACAGATCTGCTTTATCTTATCAGTCGGTATTTATTTTGTATCGTTACTTATGTTAGTGTTTTAATACAGTAAACTTCCAAACATTTTCTTTGTATCAATTAGAAATTTCAAAAAATTCCCTCAAATCATCATTTGTGCAAGTTTTGGAAAAATAGAAATTTTTTTTAGAATCACAATCGAACAAAATACAGTGTTTTAGTCAAAAACAATAATTTAGTTTCGGATTAATTGGAAATAATTATTACCTCCGAATGTGTTATTTGTATAACATAACTTCATACTTTCATTGTCATTTATTCACATACATGTACTTACATACACATACGATTAAAGCAGATTAATTAGTGCCATTTTTAATTTTAGATATACCTGTAGAACAAGCTTCCACCACAGAAAACGTTGCGATTTTGTTAACGGCAAGAGGAGGACATATTGGATTTTTTGAAAATTTTAGGCCATTTTCCGAAAAGGAAGAATTCATGATATGTATTATACGGCAATACTTCGATGCAATATTCAAAAACGATAACTACAAAAAATTTACTAATTGATTAACCGCTCTTGATCCGTCTTTTTGTTGCTCATTTGGGTTAAGTTAAGATTAATTATATAATAATAGGTATACCATGTTAGGTAATAGGTACAAAACTATATTTTATCGTTTATCGTTTATTACTTATCTCTTATCTCTTACTATGTATAAATATTTGAAATATTTTTTAATATTGTCACGCGAAAATGGTGACATGACATTTTTTGTATCCAGTATAATAAAATATCCATGTTAAAATATTGGTTTCTAAATATAGTAAAATGTATTTTATTTATATAAAAAGTAAAAAACAATAACAATGAAATACCAATATTATAACAGCATTTAATTAAATAACTACAGGTATTAACAAGAATCAATATTTTAATTTTTACCATAGAATTTGGTAATTTCAGTTCACTAAAAAACCGCCTTTGAAAGTTAAGATCATGCTTAACATTTGCATATTGTACATCACTATCTGTGTACATGTTTTTGGAGATAGACTGAGCGTCAATGGGGCGTTATGCGCAATAGTGGCGTCACCAACAAATAAATTAAAAATTGGGTAAACTATTAAAAATAACTTATTTCAGTTTCATTTTAATTAAAAAGTTAAATTCGCCACGGGGGGAGTTTTACAAGATATACTTTTATACGAGTTATACTTTTATTTTATAATAATTAACAAAATTAGTAGAAATAGAAATTATTTTGATATCTCACAACGCTGATTGTTCAATAAAACTTCGTTTAATTTACTTATAGTGAATTAATATTTTCAATAAATTACCAAAAAATAAACCGTCATTACCGCTCTTTATGTGGAGTTTTTATAGTATGCCTAAACGTGAGTTGGTTGATGCTGATTTATGTTTTTTACAACACCATTGTAGTATATCTGATACGATAACAATGTCAACTTCGGATGATTTGTTTTGACCTTTGAATTTTCAAAATAAAAAAAACACTAAGAATGCACAAAAAAAAAAAAAAATGATAAATTCGAACATTGACAATTATATATATATTGTTTTTTCGTTAGAACGTCGTATTGTTTTTTTGATTCAAATTTAGTACTTGATTTATGAATATTTTTTCGATGCCACAAAAAAAAAAAATGTACTACAACATTTATGTGTACTAGTTCCGAAATTGTATGTTTTCCGAAAATATTTTCGATTCTTTATAAAAATAATTAATTTTCAATATAAAAAACGTTATACCGACAAAATTGCACACAGGAAAAACCCAAATTTCGCCTCTCAAACTGTCTTATGAACGAATTGACCAATGAGAATCGCGCATAATGGTCTAGTGTATAATAAAAGGCGGATACAGGCATGTGTAATCCATGCTCCTTAAAAATGTTTACTACTATTACAGAATACTCATAGACTATTTTAGAGTTAATCTATTATTTATTTACTATACTATTTTAGCTTGGAAGTCGGCAATTATTGTGTTATCTTATTAAATAATAATTTAATAATACGTGATAATTGTTGAGCTGCTATTACTGGCTTTAAAAAAAACATATTGAATATTATATATATATATATAGATTGAGTTGATCAATCAGATATTGTACCGTTTTTTAACATTAAATTGATAACGAGGTATTCGATTTCATAAAATGTATTATCTAGTCCTAAATTACTGCTTTGTCTTCAAATTGTTTTTCAATAAAATATTACAATAATCGAAAAACAAAAGAAAAAAATATATAATGTACTATTGTGTATGTCTACCAAATACTCTTCGACTTACATCTCAGCAGCGAACGTACGTCGTGTTTGCAATCAAACACCAAACAAATAAGGTTGATGGAATGTTGTCACTCACAAAAGTTATCACGAGTCAATAAACACAACCGTAAAAGCCATGAAAAGTGTATTTTTTTTAATGTTCATTCGTTATTTTGACTCCAGTGCCAATTGCCGCTCTATTCTACACGCACTTCATTGTATTTCAATTGTCTACTATACTATTATGCATTTTAAGAGTGCTGTTATTCTCTGCGTGGTGTATTTCTTTACACCAGTATGGGTAAGTTATTCCTTAAAATAAATATAGTTATATACTCATACATGATGACTCATATTATATAGCGCTATCACTTATGCGTTACAACCTTATGCCCTTAAGCTTTACAAATGTAACGCATATATTTGATTAACTTTTTAATTAAACAAAAATTTGCTAAAACGTTAACTGGTCGATAACCCCTTTTGAGTGATTACTTATTAAAGTTGAAAAATTAGTAAGGGTGAAGTGAAATGTTCGTTTCATCTGCGCGAGTTACTCGACCAGATCAAAATAGTCTTCTTTTAATCAATACGCTTTTTTGGTTTTGCTGGCTTTTTTTTTTCTTTCTTCGATCGTGTGCATCCATAGAGATTGTGGGGGGGGGGGCTAACCTTGGAAGGCATTACTTCTTCCGATGCCGTTTTTATTCGGCCAATTTACAAATTATGTACAATAGAAAAAAACCTGTTTCCCTCTACGGACGAGACAGGCCTACAGTATGCGATACACCCGGGTTATGTTTATCTAAGTATACCCTGCCGTCTTCTTTCTTCACGCTCTCGAGTCTTCATGGCACGTCGGAGAAAATTTGTTATGGCCTCCTACATGTTTTCCGGTTCCAGCTCTTCTACACCATGTTCGAGGCATACATTACACCTATCACACCTGAAGACCGCGTGCTCTGCATCATCAGGTGCAAGGCAGCACTGAGCCCATGACTCAGTGTCCTCCCTACCACGCCTGAACAGGTAGGAGCGGAAACACACATGTCTCGTCTGGTGTAGCGTGAAAAAGTACCGTCGACAAACGTAAACAGACACATAGCCAATCTACTACTATTTTAGTACACCAGTAATATTATTTTTATTTGATTTTTCCTCCCCTGCACCCACTACCCACAACCTCAGAACGTTACACATTGAAGTTTTGTTGTTTTTTTTTTTTTTGGTTGAGCATTGTTTTATTTACTAGACCGTTGTTTGTAGGGTTAACTGTTACTGCCTTGTCGCAAAATTTTTATTTATTTATTTTTTTTATTCCATTTTTTCTCTCTCTCTCGCCCTACTCACAGCGCACTACTGAGGTGGCCGCAAAGACACCTGGCCAAATAAAAGTGATCGAACTGCGTAGGGAATGCGCTTTTCGGTATTTACCGTATAACGCCCCTCGCAGCGATCTTAGTAGTAATAGCGACCATTTGGTATAGTCAATGCTCCCCACAAATCTACCGTTTCGGGAAATCACCGTTTTTGACAATCTGTTCGGATAATCAGCTCATGGCAGTTAGTACTGTTAGCGGAAACCACGGTTGAAAACCAATTGGCTCCTCCCTTTAGAACAATGCCCCGATTACTAGGCCAGTCACGAACACGTACTCTTGGGGCATGACTTCCTAGTAACACAGCAAGTCGCCTGGGACTACGCTGCAGCCACAATATATCTGGGCACACTTAAAAGAACAACCGCCTGTTGGAAAGCTGGTTTCAAACTTTTCGCTGAAAAACCAGACTTATCCGAAATAGAAATAGCAGGTGACCCACCCACTCAGACCCAGCTAACCGAAACCATAATAAAATACCCACAAATCTTCGCTGACCGAGTAGGCCGTTACAAACTGATAGAGCGCGAAATTAAACTCAAAGACCCTGTAACACTAAAACCGTACCCTTACCCGTTAAACAAACAAAATGTGATAGACGAAATGGTTGAAGATATGGAGTCCCAGGGCCTATTTGAACCAAGTATATCCCCCTGGTCAGCTTAAGTAGTCCTAACAAAAAAAAAAGATGGCTCTTTCCGTTGTTGTGTTGACTACAAAACACTCGACGAAACCGCCATCTTAGACGTCCACCCCGTGCCCAACCTTAACGACATGATTAGAAATATGAAAGGGGCAAACATTTTCACAGTCTTGGATAATCAAGGTACTGGCTAGTATCCATGAATCCAGACTCACGCAACTATACCACTTTCAAAACCCGAAGGGGCTCTACCAGTTCCAAGTACTACCCTTCGGCCTTAAAAACTCCCCCATGTCCTCTGTCATGAACGAGGAACTCGTGAGGTATTTAGACGATTTTGTGTATGTTCACGTTGATGATATTGTCATCTATCAAGGGGATCTGGATAGTCACCTAAATCACCTCAGCAAAGTTCTTGAGTGGCTACAGAAACATGGCCTAACATGACACACTAAAAAGTGCAAAATTGGTTTCCCCGAAATCTCCTTCTTAGGGCGCTCAGTGAACGTGGAAAGAATTGAGAAACAACCCGAGAAACTTCGGCATGACCGACAGGAAACATGAGGAGAACAGCCCACCGTTCACCGCACCATAGCTAAAGGAGTGGCAACAGCTAGGTCTCAAACTGAACCACTCCTCAAAACACTTACAAAAGACACCCCCGCGCGTAAAGTGTTACTCAGAAAACCAAGAACGGGACTTCCTCTTATTGGGTGGTCTCTTATATAAACGGGCGTGGACCGAGACACCGCACCAGTGATCATCCCCCCGAACCATAGCGCCCCGAGTAATATGGAAATATCATGACAACGCTGGCTGGAAGGAAACGTTTAGGGCAGTCAAACAACGTTTCTTCTGGAAAGGGATGAAAAATTCGGTTAGGCTGTAGGTGAAATCCTGCCACGTTTGTGCGTGCACCAAACCCAGCATTAGATAGGCGGGGATCCGAGGGATGAACTACACCGGTATACCACCCGCGGGTCAACCCCGTCAAACGCAGAAATCAGGATTAAAGAAAGGACCGAGGGCGCTGTTGGTAGACGATAAGCATACCATTTGGGATACAAAATTACCCTCCATCCTATTCGCAGTCAGAAACCGGTGAAATGAACGGATAGATTACCCCCCCCCCCACTTCAGTCTTAGTGCTAGTAATGGAGGCCAAACGACCAGGAGACTGGTCGTTACCACAACCTACCCCAGTATCGTCGGAAGCCCTGAACGAAGGGTGGCTCCAACCCGAGAAAGCAATAAACGAGCTGATCACAACAACCCCGCTTCGATAAACGACTAAATACTCAGTGGGGGATATAGTGTACTATAAAGCCCACCGCTTGTCTAAAGCCAGCAAGGGCTTCCATGCGGGCTTCACACCTAAGTGGCGGGGGCCGGTAAAGCTACTAA